GATATGCACTAAACATTTACAAAATCAGTGAACAGTTGTTGGGAGTATTTTATTTATGGATTAACCTCTAGTTCTTCATCTTCACTGAAGTTTTAAGGCAGCTGTGGTGACACATCACACAAGAGTGAAATAAGAACTGTGAGCAATAAGCGAGTCCTGGGAATTTCTGGGTTCTCTAAACTTGCCATGCACTTTGACACACAGACCTACTACACATAAACAGAAGCACACCATAGCCCCACGCTCCCACATGGCAGCTCTATCCTGAAGTTACAATATGACAGCATTGCAACAGTCTTCTTTGAAGTCATCCCATGCCACAGAAAAGCTTAGTCCCTCTTAATAACTGATGTTAAAACTTCAGCATGGGGATCTGTGCCGTGTAGTCGGTCAGAAGAGACACAATGAGGCCCTGAAAGACAGAAGACAGTTGTGATGGTCAGTTGAAAGAAAATTAAACTGGAGTTAAACAAACTTAAACAGCACATTATGCGTTAACATTTCAGCCCACCATGATGGTCCATTTTCTATTCTCTGCCTCCGAAAAGACGAGAGAGCGGGATGAGTAGAACACCTGATCATCCACCTCCTCCATTTCCCGAGGGAGACAGTGCAGGAAGGTCCAGTCTGACTTGGCCACACTTCCTGTCTGTAACAGAAGGGCATCAAACCACGGATAAGTGTTATCGTCCATGAAGTGTAAGGATTTTCAGGAATGTGACTTAGACTTTCCTTCCCTTCTTTGAACTTGTTTTCTTAATATGAAAGTATCTTACTGTGTATACTATATGCAGAAAACTAAACTAAAACCATTTAAAACCAGTTTCAATAGGTGGTGACATGATGCATAAAAACAAAACTTTCTCAAAAACCATTTTTATACAGTTTTCTTGTCTTTATCCATCTTTATCTAAAAAACAACAACAATACTTTTCTGTGATTTGTCATATATTCATGTATCATTAATACATATATACACATATACACACCCACACATATAGCAAATAAACGATTTCTATCTGAAAAATATTAGTGTTTAAAAACAAGTAAAAAGGTGAGAGTAACTACTTGGCTGAAAGTAATGTCCTTCTTTACCTGCATAGAAATCTGGTATCCATGGAAGTCTTTTAGCCTCTTTTTCTTCTCCTCTTCCTGTCCCATACTGACCCAGGTGTCAGTGACCAAGACATTGCTGTCACGGGCAGCCTCCATGGGGTCAGAGGTCAGAATCAACTGAGTACCATGCTGAGACAGAATATAATATTATTTATTAACATTAACCTTGGCAGAATACTTAATACTAGAAGACATTAATGGCAAATTTTAGACACAAATGGGACCTCACCTGTTTGGCGAGCCTGTGTGCCTCTTCAGTAACGCCCTTGTCTGGCTCATACCCCTGAACACAAAGATATGACTTTATCTTACTGACACAAGAAGTGCACAGATAAGAAGCTCAAGGCTGACTGCCTGCCTTTAACCTCAAACTACAAAAAAAAAACCCCACATAAGATACAAAGACCAGAGTAACAGAGAGATCACATGCATCCAATAGCACAATAAGAAGCCAACCTTCGGTGTAGCAACCTTAAGATGAACTCCGAGTTTGGCTGCAGTCATCATGAAGGAGTGGAGAACATTGTTGCCATCTCCAATCCAGCTCACCGTTAGACCATTAAGGGATCCGTAATGCTCCTGGATTTAAAGAAAAAAGGTACTGCATGGTTATCAACTAGTGCATTAAAATTGCAGAATACCACAGGGTAAGAGTACCTGTAAGGTGAGGAAGTCAGCCAGAATCTGGATTGGGTGATACAGATTTGACAGTCCGTTAATGATGGGGATTGAAGCCTCCCTATCTAGCTCCTCCAGCGTCGAGTGCTTGTAAACACGAGCCAAGACAACATCACAGAATCCAGAGAGAACCCTGTTGTGAAAAATCAGACATGCACAAGGACTTTGTGGTTTATATGCTGAGCCAGGAGGGAAATCTGGTTGAGAAAAACTGTTCTTCTTCTTCTTCAGTAATTATGAACAGCAATGACAATCATGAGCAGACTGCTATAGAAAAGGTTAAAGCTTGCAGCTGCTTTTATTTTCCTGAGATAAACCAACAGCTCACCTGGCTGTATCTGTGCAGCTCTCATTCACTCCCAGGTGGATGTCCCGTAAGGTAAGGAAGCAGGGGTGTCCACCCAGCAGAGCAAATCCTGGAGTTACAAGATTAAGGTACTTTTAGTTTCCCTAAAAGTCAACTAGTGCTTTAAAAAGTGTACTTAAAGTAAATGTGCAAGCAGGAATATATAGAGGAGTGCACACTAAGGGGAGTGTGGGGGTGGTGGAGAGGGGAAATGAGGAGTGCTGATCAGTGTTTTGGTGGGGATTTGTACTGAAAGTCACTTTTCAGCAGTTCTTTTGTGACTACATTAACAATGACTGCACTGAATGGCATTAGCCGGGCTCCTGCACAAGGATAGTGTTTTTCAATTTATGTAATTATTGGCTTAATGACCTTCCATGCAGTTAGACACCACTGTTTAAACCATTGTACTTTTAATCCTATAGGTAAAGCTACATTATCATGTTTTCATCAGTGAAATACAGCAAGCATTCATTCATACATGTCATCTATGTAAACAAAGACTGACTTTGGCCTGATGTGACAAGACCATATTACTCACTGTAGGGTGTAACTGTATGGATCTATGCCAATATTAAATCAAGAATGATTCAGTTAATACATATAAATAATTTAAAAGCTGACTAAGAAATAAATGGCTACAAAGCAAATATTGGGATGTATAATTGAAACAGTAATTATGGAAAAACTTCAAATTTCTGCCTCTAAAAAAATAAAACAAATAAAAATTTTGGGTTATTATCAAAAGATTGTGTAACTTACTAATTTCACATCTTGACATAGTTAACTAAAAAAGTCAAAATTGAACGAAACAACTTGAAAATTTTAAATTAAGGTTAAGAAAATTCCAAGTTTCGTTACGGTCGTCATGAAGGTGTGAAGTTATGGATAACAACAATGTTTTTGTGTGTTTTGTTGTTGTTTTTCCAATGGGAGAAAGCATCAATTATATGCATAAAGAAACACACAGCAAATTTCAGAATCACTTTCATTGCTCAATTTATACACAATAACAACCTAAATTTGTGACTTACAGAAAAAAAA